GTTCCTCACCCAGCAAAGAGTAAACCTAAGCGGTACAGACAGGACAAGTATAAGTGGCTGATCAGGCAGGAGTTAGAGCATCTTTTCCTATCACCTTCCTCTAAACTTCCTCTAAAAAGCTGTGTTGAAGTTTGGCAGGGAACCTCTTGCACCAGCTACAGAACTCTATAAATAATTCCTATCTTTGAGCCAGCTGCTCACTGTTCAACTACAGGCAGTCTATTAAAATTTATTCCTTTAATTGTTGTGATACTTAGTATTCACTGCATCATCTCTACTACACGGAGCATACCTAAGTAAGCAGATTTCTGCTGGAGCTCAGTCAGTCTGCGCAATCGTTCTTCATTCTTGCCTTTCAACTGATCAGCATCGAGACTGAAGCTTGAGTGCAAAGAAAAGCTGTCAGGCTGCAGCAACGGTGTCTGGCCTGGTGGTACATCCTCCTGCAGAAAATCCAAAAATGCACAAATCCTTCACTTAAATAGCATCCTTTGTAAAAGGGGCAAATAGCTATACGTGTACACTCTCAGTACCTGTGTCATTTAGCCACTAAGGAACCACAGGAACTGTCTGACATTAGATCTGTGGTCTACCTTTTTTAAGGTTAAGGTTTTAAGGTTAACCATATTTACACCAATCTGGTTATCATACATACAGCACACTCCAAAGCTTTCTGCTTTATTCGTCTCCTCTCCCTTGCAGAAGGTGGAAGCTGTGGTGATAAATCAACTTCTCCTAAGGCAGGAAATGTTTCCCCATTAGCACCTGGAAAAACAGAGGTGAAATAATTTTCAAAGAAATCAAAATACTAGACAATGTTCAAACATGTTTATGTTTTGAAATGAGCCAATGTATGGCACTTGATTTAATCACAGGAATCAAAGGAATGTATTCAATTAGGACATCTTGCATGAAGGCAGTGACATCCAGATGCAGACAAAAGAACAAGGTACCACAACAGCAGCGAGGGATAAACTTAAAGCAAAGGTAAGGAATATCTTCATATATATATTGAAATCTCTCTTATTAAAGAATTTCACATCCTGTAAATCCACCACCTACCTTACTTCACTGTATCTTGTTTATGGCATCATACAATAGTTTGGGTTGAAAGGGACCTTTAAAGGTCATCTAGTCCAACCCCCCTGCAATGAGCTTTGACATCTTCAACTAGATCAGGTTGTTCAGAGCCCCATCCAACCTGACTTTGAATGTTTCCAGGGATGGGGCATCTACCACCTCTCTGGGCAACCTATGCCAGGATTTCACAACCCTCACTGTGAAAAATTTCTTCCTTCTATCTAGCCGAAATCTGCCATCTTTTAGTTTAAAACCATTACCCCTTGTTCTATCACTACAGGCCCTGCTCAGAAGTCTGTCCCCATCTTTCTTATAAGGCCCCTTTCAGTACTGAAAGGCAGCAATAAGGTCTCCCCAGAGCCTTCTCTTCTCCAGGCTGAACAAACCCAACTCTCTCAGCCTGTCCTCATAGGAGAGGTGTTCCATGATTCCTCCGATCACTTTGGTGGCCCTCCTCTGGGTCCATGTCCTTCTCGTGCTTTCTCATGTCTTTCAACAGGTCCATGTTTTCTCGTGCTTTCTCATGTCTTTCAACATGAGATGTGCTTTCTCATGTCTTTCAACAGGTCCATGTCTTTGTCGTGCTGAGGGCTCCAGAGCTGGTCACAGGACTCCAGGGCGGGTCTCACCAGAGTGGAGTAGGGGAGCAGAATCCCCTCCCTCGACCTGCTGGCCACGCTGCTTTGGATGCAGCCCAGGATACGGTTGGGCCTCTGGGGTCCCAACACACATTGCCGGCTCCTGCCCAGCTTTTCATCCACCAGTACCCCCAAGTCCTCCTTGACAGGCCTTAATCACATATCCTTAGTCATATCTTAGCCTTTCCATGTAATAAAGTGTTAGGATCTGTTAATACAAAAATAAATAACTGAAGAGATTTTTGATCACATTACAGTGGGGGGAGTTTAATTTATTTTTATAATATAAATGAACCCTAAGGTGATGTCTCTAGAGCTTTACACTTGTTTTGTCTATTTTCCCTTCCTTTGCTGATTCTGGAAACTATTTCAAATACAAACTGTTTCCAATAGATACTTTTTTTCTCTCCAGGACCAGGAACCACTGCCTGGGGGCTGGTTTATGGCTTTGCCACTGCTTGGTGCGGACAGTGGGCTCTGTTTTCTACTTTTGTCCCTCTCGTACCTCCAAGAACAGAGCCTCTCAGAAAAATAAAGGTCTCTGCTCAACAAAACCAATACAGAACCTATCACCACCAATTACTCGTTGTGACAACAAAGTCACATTTTGGAAAAGCTCTTAGTCTAGTATGACACATTAAGGTTGTTTTTTTTTTTTAAAGTGTGTAAACACACACACACACACACAAAGAGTAATGAACAATTCCGCATTTTTTTGAAATAGTAAGGTTTGAAAAATAAATTTGACTGATATCAAGGAAGTTCAGAGAAACAAAGACAGATCTTTTTTAAAATGCTTTTGTATTACCAGTTGGTTTTTCCCTAGTAGTAAACATTTTATTCCCCTCTCCTTTTTCCCCTCCTCTAGTTTCACCAAAGGTACTCATTCTCTCATCACAAATGAGAGAAATCAAAAAAATCAAGAAATCAAAAACCAAAAAAATCGAAGCATAATTTTGAAATGGTATCTGGCTAACAATTATCAGAATTCTAGTTACAGGATCAGTTGAACTTCATTATATTCAAAATAGTGCTATTACTCAGAAGACAAAAAATTGTTTAATCATTTGAATTTATCACAACAGAAACAAAGTACAAGCTAAAGAAGAATTTATTTGCACCTTTAGTGTTTCATCAGTGTAAGATACTACCTGTTCCTTTAAGCATCTATCATTCAGATATTGCTATGTAGACATGCTTTCAAGTCACTGCATTAACACTAACGTATTGTGTGTCAAGTGAGGCAAAAAAAGGGAAAAGAACTTGATAAACCTCATTATTCCTAACTGCCTCAAACTTCTGAGCCCTAGGAGAAAAAGACAAATTCATTTGTAATGCTGACGACTATTACAAAATTAGGTTAGATTTTAAACCCATGTCCAAAAAAAACCCAGAAGATAGTGTTATGCTCTTAGGAAATGAAAAACATTGTTAAAATACACCACAAGTATTTCAGAGAAGACCCTCAGACAATGTGAGCAGCACAATTCACAGAGAAGGCAGCCCACAGATAATAAGAGTTTTTATTTTTCATTTCAGGGAAGGAAGTCACCAGATTCATATTCAGAATTTTAATAGCTATTTATGAAGTCCAAATAATGCAAAGGGTAACAAAAGTTTTAGTTAGTGCCTACAGCTCAGTATTGGGGAACATGTTTTTCATCAATCATAAATGATCGGGAGAATAAAAAAAGGCGGGGGGCGGGATGAAAGGTATCATAAGTTACCTCCATCACCTCACTAAGCTGCAAGAATCAGCTGGATGGGGAGAAAGAGGAAATAGGAGAGAGGACTATAAATATCATGAACTTTGTGAAGTGGTGAATAAAACCACAGAGCATCCTATTTACACAGGTGGCAGATTCAGAGCAGATGAAAAGAGATAGTGCACAGTGTGCGGAAATTTATCCACACAATACTGCTGATGGTACACAATCAGAGGGATTCAAAAATGCTGATTCTGGTTCATGAAAGACAACTTATTAAAGACCCAGCTTAGTAAGACTTACAACACAAACCCACAGCACGTGACTCGGGAAGCCTCTGAGCTCTAAGTCACCGCAGGCTCGGAGAGTACTCTGCAGTGTTGCTGCATGCCGGCCCTCCTCCTCATATTCTTCCTCATGTGCCTATTCTGGCTACTGTGAGAGACAGGATATTTGGCCAGATTCTAGACTGGTGGACTCTCATAAAGCATCCTTTCATCATTTGGGCAGTAAATAATAAAGAACGTTTCCTAATCTGAAGAAGAATGTATTGCAGACCTCAGCGAGTACCAAACACATCGAAAAGCCCCATCCTGTGCCCTGCCCCATGCCAGGATCTTTCCTGTACTCCAGTACTTGCACGTTAACAGAGTAAGTTTGAATACATTTCAAATGAAAAATTCTGCTTTTAACCAAAGCCAGAGAGTTAACAATCATTGGTATATGGAAACATATCTAGTTTCATTAAAAAGCACTTGCAGGGATCTGCTGCATCTCCCCTACAGCAAAGAATTAAAACATTGTAAGATGATTTCCCATAGACAACTGAAGAGAATTTCAAGGTACTGTAATGCCTACTAAGAGAAAATTAATGCGTAGGGGCCTGAGCTGGTTATTTTTTTTTTTCTTTAGAAAGAGAAGATAATTTCTATCCTTATTATTTCTAGCGACTGGAAACAAAACACATCTGAAACAGCACTTTTATAAATATGCATATAAAGATTGAATAAAGACACATAAGATAATGTCAGACATAGCCCTCAAAATATTAAGAAAACTAAAAATCACCTATTTCAGATTATTAAGAAGTGATAATGTTTACAAGTATGATGTTGCAAGTTATGTGAAATGAAGTAACGTGTGAACAGCAGCAAAGTGATTAAATTATAATGAATCACTATTTTATACCCATATTATCATACTTAAAATCAAGCAAGCTTATAAAACAAAAGAATGAAAATGAAACGAATCGCAGGCTGCCCAACACCTTTATATTTAACTATGGACAGCTTGTAATTACAAGCTGTGATTGCTAATAAATTATTTTATTTGCTGCAGAACAATAGAAGAGCATTGCATGTTCTACCATGGTAACACATTTGCTGAACAAATATTAGCTTTTCCTTATCCAAAGCTGGGAAGAGGTAAAAAAAAAAGTTCCTTGACAAGGCTGACATCCCAGTCAAAGCACAATGAGCACAGAAAGTTGCTTTCTCATGAAAGAATGTGAAGTGGTGTAAGGCAAGTGAGCAGCATCATTAAGACACAAATATATTGCAGTACAATTCCATAAAGATCTGTATTTTAATCTGGAGCGATCATTTTCTCATACTTTAGAACAATCACTATAGCTATACCCACTACAACTTTTAAAACAGTAATAACAATTTTAGAGACATATAATCAGATTAAATGACATGTTTGTTCACTCATAACATGGTTAAGGGGAGGTATAAACTCACCGATAAAAGCGCTATCTGATTCCAACAGGGAATTTTTCAAGAATTCATTAGATTCATTCCTGAACTACAAAAGTGAAACAGAAGACACTGAGGCATCTGAATTTGCATATCTTTCAGGGGCCAAATTATAATTAATGTAAATTAATTGCCAAATTTCTGCAAAGCAACAGCAACTCTACAGTGTTCTGTGCTACTCTTCATGGTTATAAAAAAATTACATTTTTAAATAGTTCATGTTCTCTTTAAGCATTAAGGAGTTTTTTTACTTTTCTGCAGTAATCCCATTTGCTGAAATTGCCTTCACATGGCAACTGTTGTGATTTGTGTAACACTGACATTTCCATCAAGAAATACATCCTCGTCACTCTGCTTGAGTTTCAGAACAGTCAGCACTAGAAGCGAGCTTTGCACCTGAAGTTTGTATGAAGTATTGATCAAATGAAGAAAGATTCCTTATGTTTCACTTATCCCACCATTTACAATCTTTCATATTATAGCATTAGAAAACCAAATTTCTTCATAGAAAAAACAAGCACTAAGAGTAATACTTATAGTTCATTGCATAGTTGCAACCATTTGTTACAGAAATTCTACTATAGAATAATTTATGTTGAAAATCAAAGCAGTAGAAACTATCAGAGGAAACAGAACAAGAGAGAACAATTTTTTTACTGGAAAGCATTGCTCTGAAGAAGAATTTGAGGTAATAAATTGCAACTATGAAATGCATTACTGTGATTTTTTTTTTTTTATTAAAAATGTTTCATTTCTGTATGTAGTTACAGTATTATCCTTGAGGCTAATGGCTTTGCCCTTGCAGTCTTCCATCTTGTATAGTTTCACATTCCCACAAGACACAGTTGAACTCTCTTATTCTGTAGTTTGGTTTAGTGCAGAATGCCAATTTGATAGCACTTTATTTTGCTCTTTTCACCAAGTCAGAAAATAAATGTCCCATTTGTTACAATAGATCTAATTATTCACTGCCATGTGCATCACTTAAGCCACCTGAATTCAGAGCAACTGGTTCTGGCTTGGCTTTTTCTGCTAATTCTCACCCCCAGCAGCAATCTAACATCATATGAATATAAAAGAAGTGCCAATGAATATAAAAAGGGAGTTAAAGAATCAAACCATCTCTATATACAAAGATAAACAACTTGACATACAAGTTTAAAGAAGCTGTTACTCATTGTATTGACAAGCAAGAGAAGTAAACAAGCTTGCTGTCTGGTTACTTAAGTGCAATTCCTTTCTTCAAGTCTGTGCAAGACACAGTATTTCTCACACTTGAACAAGGCAAAGTAATATAATATAATAAAAAAAAGAACTGTTTTATTCTTACCAGTTCCATGGTTTGTGGGTTACTGCCAGAAGCAGAATCATCTTGATCAACAAGAACCACATAGACAGGGACAAAACAATAGTATTGACAATAAAAACAGTTACTACTAAAACATATTAAGTTTTATCAGCATATTATTACAAAAGAGACCACTATGCATTACTCCTTTAAAATTACACACATTTTAATGAATAATTTTAAAATGTTTGCATGGAATGTTTATTCCAGTTTCCTTATGACAAGTTAAGCAGAATCAGCGAAATCAAACATAATTCAGTACAATATTATTTCTAAGAACACTGAGCACATGCAAAGCCCTTCTTAAGGCTGGATTCATCAGTCTCTCCCAAAGAGCAAACATACTTTTTACACTATAACTACATTGTTTATCGCTAATAAAAATGAACCATTTCCCATCTTGTTCAAAACCTGATTTGTTATCCAGCAAAAGGAAGCATAACTTTTTTTTTGGCTATTGAAAACCTTGGTTTTGTTTGGTTTTTTTTTTTTTTTAAGAAGATAGACACTTCATTAAATGCTAAAATTGCTCTGAATTGTGCTGAATTCTGAAAAAGTTCTCTGTACGGCAACAGTCAGAACTACTTTTGTGCTGTGTTTACAACATTGTAAACACTTGTTAGAGAAAGGTCATATCCAAGTGTTGACTGAATAATGTGAAAAGCACCAATTTGTGGGAAGGCAGCATGGTTTAAGCCAAAGCAACACATTGGGGCACAAAACATTGCTGCATGAATACTTGATTTCTCTCTTTTACCCTCTTATGTTTTGATTGGCAATACCCTAAGATCTTTATAATTTGAGTTACTGTATCTGAAACAATATCCAGTCACACAGCTAACAAGAAATTTTTTTTTCATTGTATGTTCTCACACTGCTGAATCCTAATGCAACTGGAACATGGTACTGAGAAAACACGCCAGGTTAAGTGACTTCAGATGAAAAAGCATTTAAACAAAAATCTACTTTCCAAAGTGTATCAAAGAACTCAAAATCGATGTCCTTCTTTCTATAATAAAGATTATCCTCCCTTCCCTAGCATAAGTATTTTGGTTTTCTTGCCATCATTTTCACGTATTAAATTTTATACATGTCACATTTTTCTTATATTAAAAACATTTGTGAACTAAAAAATAAAAAACCACCTCACACAAAAAAATTCAGCATCCCAGTGGTTGCTAGTGCTAAACTGCAACAATTTAAACTCCATCTGAACTTCAGAGCTAGGACACAAAAAAACCCCTAATAATGGAGAGGAAACGCTCTAATTTATCAATTTTTGTTTAAACTTGCTATGAATCAAGTAGAAAAACAAGCTAACACTGTATCAAATTTTAAAAATTAGAGAGCCAAAAATGAATTTTTTCTTCCATAATTAGGGATCACCCGAGTCATGTATTTCCTGACCCCACTTTGGATTTTGCGATTATTTTTAGTAGTCTATCAAGAGCTAAGACAGATAAAGTCAAGTGTCTCATTATGTGTAGCGAAAATAAACATTACAACAGTTTTGTAGTTAAAACTCTTGGATACTCAAAAAAAAATTTATTCAATATTCCAGATATCTGTTTGCCAGGAATAGGCATGTTTGTGTAGCTAAAACAGTTATATTTGTATCAACACAACTCAAGACTAATGATGTTCTCCCCTAGGTGGGACATCTCAACAACCAAACTGACTAGCAAGAAGGATGCTGTCAGAGTCAGAATAAACTCTGTTAGATGAAATCAGTTCTCTTGGCTTCTTTCAGGGTGTAATAATCAGAGCAGGGGATCGCAGAAAACCACAAGGGTGAATGTATGCTCAACATGCTGAGCACACTGCGTTTGCAGCTTTCACCAGACAGTGATCATTTTGCAGAGGAAAGTACTTGGTTTAAGTCTTCAGATAAAATATGTGATAAGATAGTTTTTATTTCCTGCATCTCTGCCTAGCAAATTTATTCAGCATGTAGCTGACCTTCTTACTAGTATCAAAAACCATGGCACACAGGCTGTCACTCCTCCTGGACAGACAGCCAGCCCCTTCCCGATACGCTACCCCAGTCAAGCAGAGCCCAACACCACAGTGTAACACCACCAGACCTGCTCCTGTGCCTTTCCCTCCTATCCCCCAAAAGAATAATCGTCCAGAAGTCTACAAAAGAGTGCCTTAAATAGGGACACAGCAAGCATTTAAAAAACGTGGGACATTTTAAAAAATCATTACTTTATCAGGTTATAGTTCCACTAATAGTCCACATATTTCTTTTTTACATAAAGAGAAAAAAACCAACAAAGCATATCAGAGGGGAAACTATATAAAGCATGTAAGGTAAAGAATACCTACATTTATACACATATATATTATATATATATATATATGTGGGAAAACAGGTAAGTCTTTGCCAGTATAGCCTATAATTGACATTTTACCCACAGTACAAAAATACATATTGCTTTAATTCATCTTTCTTTCTGCTTTAAATCAGACAATAAAACCATTCAATATTTTCAGTGAGAGGAAGATGATGAACTTGCCTCTGAGGAAAATGAACTGGAAATAAATACATGGCAACTAATTAATTCCCTTGCTCAGTACACAGTAACAGACTATAAAGTTAAATGATGCTATAAAGCAGCAGGAGAGAGAAAGACAGAGGAAAGACTGCTTAAGAATCCTCTATAGGCATCCATTGAAAATAGTTTTAAAAATCAGCTGCTTGTCTACCAACTAATCTAAATTGTCTGAGGAAATAGCTCTTTAGATTGTCATCATGTAAGCCTGCATTATGCATTTAGCATATGTCTAAAATGACTGCTTGTCCTTAAAATTAATGAAAAAAGGCAAATTTCCTTTCCAACTGATAGAAGCTCCTCTCCAGACAACATTAAGTTAAAGCCTTCTCAGATTGGACTATTGAAAAATACCCTAACGGCGGAAAAACAAAACCAAACCCCACACAGATCTCAGTTGAAGCTAGTGAATTATTTTTCACCATTTCACAGAATCACAGAATGGTAGGGATTGGAAGGGACCTCTGAAGATCATCTGGTCCAACCCTCCTGCCAAGGCAGGATCAATCACCTAGGGCAGGTTGCACATGAACGTGTGCATGTTTCATGAGGTTCCCCTCCACCCAACTCTCCAGTCTGTCCTGATCCTGTTGAATGGCAGCACAGCCTCCTGGTGTATCAACCACTCCTCCCAGTTTTGTATCATCAGCAAACTTGCTGAGAGTACATTCCAACCCTTCATCTACGTCGTTGATGAAGATGTTGAACAAAACCGGACCCAGTACCGATCCCTGGGGAACACCACTAGCTACAGGCCTCCAACTGGACTCTGCACTGCTGACCACAACCCTTTGAGTTCTTTTGCTTAGCCAGTTCTCGATCCATCTCACAGTCCACTCATCCAACCCATACTTCCTGAGCTTCACTATGAAGTTGTTATGGCAGACAGTGTCGAAAGCCTTACTGAAGTCAAGGTAAACCACATCCACTGCTCTCCCTTCATCTACCCAGCAGTCACTCCATCATAGAAGGCTATCAGGTTGGTCAAGCACGATCTCCCCTTGGTGAATCCATGCTGACTACTCCCGATAGTTTTCTTTTCATCCATGTGCCTAAAGATGGCTGCCAGAAGGAGCTGTTCCATCACCTTCCCAGGGATGGACGTGAGGCTGACCGGTCCATAATTTCCCCGGTCTTCCTTCTTGCCCTTTTTGAAGACTGGGTTGACATTGGCTTTCCTCCAGTCCTCGGGCACCTCTCAGGTTCTCCATGATTTTTCAAAAATGACAGAGAGAGGTGTTGCAAAAACATCAGCCAGCTCCCTCAGCACTCGCAGCTGCATCCCATCAGAGCCCATGGATTTGTGAGTGTTCAGTTCAGCCAAATGATCTCTAACCCAAACCTCATCAACCAGTGGAGAGTCTTCCTCCCTGCAGGCTTTTTTTGTGAATTTCAGTCAATCTCACAAAGGGGAAGACTGAAGATTACCCTACATGTTCTGTTTAGACCTTAAATAATATTCAAGAGCTTGTAATTAACACAGAAAGTGGTATAGATATGCTTATTTGCAACTGTGATGTTATGTTATCCATAAGTAATTTGGCACACATTGCTTGAACACCAGCACATCTGTCCAAGATGGAAGAGGAATCATCTTTAACACTCACCAGGGTACAAAACAAAACACTCTGCAAGTAGCTGTCACCCTTCACACCTCGGTATCAATTCTGTTAATCCTACTTGTTAATAGACCCATATGTGAGTAACACAAACAAGACTCAAAGCACGACGAGTGACATGAAGAAGCATTCAGTTTTTCTGAACACATATGGGTCTATTAACAAGTAACACAAACAAGACTCAAAGCACGACAAGTGACATGAAGAAGCATTCAGTTTTTCTGAAGCATTATGGAAAGGTGTAACTATCTTCCTTTCATATGTGTTTGGGGGTTTTTATGCCAAACTTTCACCTCCTCTCTAAGGCAAAAAAAAAAAGTCTAAGGAGCAATCTGAAATTGTACTGTGTGTCTGTGGCAAGGGGAAGCTGCAGGGGTGGATGCTGTGAGAGATGCCAGGGGCTGCTCCATGCTGGGCACAGCCAGTACCACAATGGATCCACTGCAGGACACAGCTGAGCCCATTAGTCAAGCTTGTGGTGCCTCTGTGAAAACATATTTAAGAAAGGGCAAAACAAAGCACAGCAGTGAGAAGTGAGGACACAAGTGTGGGCAGCAGCCCTGTAGACACCCAGGTCAGAGAAGAAGGAGGGGGAAGAGGTGCTCCAGGTGCTGGAGCAGAGGTTCCACTGCAACACCTGGAGGAGACCATGGTGCTGCAGATGGAAAGGTGCAAGAAGACAGAAGCAGCAGAGAGAAACCGCTGTTTTCTGAATAATTCCCGCCGCCCCTGCCTGACGCCCCTCATTGCGTCATCGAAGGGACTGACCGTAACTGCCGGTGGTACCAAGGAAGGGGAGCAGGAGCATCGGGAGTGAAGGAGTGAAGTTGGGCATGGGGAAGAGGGCAGAAAAGGTGAGGTTTTGACGTTTGTCTTTTTGTTTCCCACTCCTCAAAATCAGTAATGAAATACTTATTTAAATTGAAAATAATTAGGTTAATTTTCCCCAAGCAAGTCTGTTTTGCCTGCAACAGCAATTGGTAAGCAATCTCCCTGTCTGTACCTCGGTCAACAACTTTCATTTTTCCTGTTTCCCCTACTAACTCGCCAAGGGGCATGAGTGAGGGGGCATGAGCAGGTGAGCAGCCAGGTGGGAGTTTGGCTGCTAGCCAAGGCTAAACCACCACAGAAATAAAGTTGTTTTCACTTGAAAAATTTAGTTAGGCCAGTCTGAATTACAGAGACAAACACTTTTCTGAGAAATTTGTATCTTGCACTCAAAACTGAGTGCATTTGTATAACTGCAACTGAGTGCAATTTGTAAAGCTGCAACTGCAGCTTTTGGAAAGGTTGAAGCAACTCTCATATTTTTAAACAATATCTAAAGTAACTTGTGATACTGCTCTTTCATGACTGTTCGTCATGAAATCACTTTATGAGGATGATCTCTACTAAGCAATACAAGCAACATTTTCATTCTGGAATCTCGAACTAGTTATGATATTTTACACATGGTTTCTAAAGTAAAGCCTGTTTACAGATACAGATTTCCGAAACTTTGAAATAGTCAACCCAAGACTACGGAAATAAATGAAATTTAATCCATTAAAAGGAGACAAGGGTAAAGACACACTCGCTCATTTTAACCAATTCACAGTTCAAAGCCATCTACTTCCTCAGTGACAACTGAAGAAATGCCACAAGGAACTTAACCTGCTAATGCTTTTATCACAAATCAGCTGAAGAGTTTTACTGCTCTGTAGTTTTCTTTACGAAATAGTAACCAAACTACTTTTCTCTTGCATTTTTCTGAAGTATAAAGCACTAGTCACATTACTTTCAGGGAACCAAAGAGAAACAGTCACAGTAATAAATAAAAAAAAAAAATTAAAAATTTTAAAAGGCTTTCTATTTTTTTATGTTTTACATTACAACAGAATTTTAGCATTCCAGTGTTTTACTGTTTTGTACTGCAGTGCTGACACTGAACTTTAAAGAAGTGAAACTAGAGCTGGTGTTTTTTAAATTCTTATCAAATACAAAACAATTAAAGAAAAATCACTGAAATTATCTTGGACCGTTCATGCCTTACCTTCTGTTTCTCTCCTCATTCTCATTCTGTCAAGTTTCTTCTGCTGCTCCCTCAACAGCGCCTGCTGTTGGATTTCTAGAGTCTGATCATCTCTTGGAGGATCAGGATACATGTGCCTCAAGCCCATACGTGTTTCAGAATCTAAGCAAAGATGAAATTTAAATTTTTCCCCTAAGCCAACTTTTCTGAAAAGCATTTTTAAAGTACTACCCACAGATACAAAGTCACAAAAAACGTTAAAAATAATGGTGACAATGGCCAAGAGCATGAGCCATTTTAGCAATGCTTCTACAGTTTTACTATATTAAAAATATATTTTCTGGTAAAGGAGAAAGTTACACAGAGTCATAATTTGTTGGTGGATCAACAAAAAAAAAAAATTCAGTCTATTTTCGGTAACATCATAATATCAAATGTATAAGAAGTTTAAGCAGCCAGGACTGGAAGTTAGGTGAGTGCTGTGACTGATAACTTAGCAACTCAATGCTGTGAATTGTGTGCACTTGTAGAAATGGCCACACTGAGAGATACACACACATGCAAAATGCTATCCATAGAGTATGTTGTGTATGGGCAGTTGCTGTGAAGACCCTGATTTTTGTTTTTGTCTTTAAATCCTGGGTGGTGTGGAAGATGGAAGAAAAGAACAGACATTTCACTACACTTCATCAATAACAAGAAGATCTACCTGCCTTTGTATTTAAGTTCATTAAATTCCCAGATATTCTGTATATTGACAGGATCTTGTGCCTCCTTTGATGAAGGTCGCCTTACTGGAGCCTGCAGACGAAGCCTGGCCATCTCAAATATGTCCTTTGGATTCTTCTCTCTCCTCCCGCTTGAAAAGTTTATATGAAAATTAATATTAAAGTAATGACACTGTGTGTTAACTTATAAAAAAGGATAACCTACTTAAAATAAATTTTAAAAACCCTCATACATTATGGAGTGGAAGTAAGAATGATGATCTGATGAGTCATTTCCAACTAATTGGTATGATTAACTAATATGTTTTGGAAGTAAACCAATTTTTTTTAAATAAAAAGGGTATGATTTTTCAGTAAGAAAGAAAGTACTTCCACAGCAGTATGCTATTCATAAGCATATTCATCAGCAGTAGTACTGCAGTTTACAGGCACAAATTATTCCCTGGGGAAAAAGGTAGTAAGATAAAATTCTGCCTCAGAATCTGCTTTGGACCACTCTCCAAGACAAGAGTATTGCAACTTTCAATCTTACCAGTACAGCCGTTCTTACACTACATGTTGGTAAGATTCTTGGAAAACACCCATATTCATTAGAGAAAATGAAGAAAATTTTATATACAAGTTCTATCTTTGTATTTCCATTTCACTCACGTATATTAGCCAACTAATACTAGCTACTAGTACACAGTAGCTTCAAGCTCCTGTGCAAAATCTAACTTTTAAAACTGAAGATTAAATTCTTACCGTGTAATCGGTACATCATCATCACTGGCCACATTTAGCAACTGTTCCTGCAGTCGCCTCTCTTCACTACGAAGTTGTTTCCTCATCTCTGATAATTCATTTATCACATTCTTTCTTTCCTCTGGAATTTAACACAAATAATTTAAAAATAAAGAGTGTCAAAGACGCTTTTCTGCCTACCTCATAAGTGTAAGGTAAAAAAAAAAAGAAAAACCCCTCTTAATTAAAACAAGGATTATAGAAACACAAGAATCGCAGCATTTCAGACACTAGAAATCTAGAAATTAGGTCAGAGCTTGTATTTTGAGACAGCACAAGTTTCAGACCCCCTGAACAGCAGAAAGCATCCAAACTTCAATGGAAATGTTTCACTGTATTTAAAGAAGGAAAAGCTGTGAAATACCAGCAAGTGGACCAGTAAATAGCCTTATTTTGAAGTTAGCAAATCTACACGGTCCTCAGAGTCCCAGAGGCAGATGACAGGAATTGAGGCAGTACCAGCAAGCACACAACCTCATTTCTTTTTACTGTCTCAAAAGTGGGATATCCATCTTCTCAGAGCAGACTCTCTTAAGTGCTCAAGAGTTCTAACTTCAACACTTATTTTTAGTATGTGCCTATGTTGACTTTCTAGACCCACTTTGGGTCTAAGCTGGTTTTTTTGTGGTCAGGACAGCATTCCTCCACAAGTTAAAACAGTTTCCTCATTATTTTCCAAATAACATGTTTAATAATTTGATATTTTACTGACTTTTAGTCTGAGTCCAGAACCTAGAAGGCAAGCAAGTTTTACTAGGTTAAATCCTCAAACACAAAATTTAATTCATATGTCTTTATTTCTGTCATGACAGATGTGTCTGAGTCAATTGATTTCCAAGAGCTGCATTAAGAACTCTGCCTTCTGCACTCTGCCTTCCATTTAGTGGAAGAGCCATAACTCCCCAGAATGGACCCAGGTACCTATTGCTGGGGGTTAGCATTTGTAGGACATCATTTACTGCTACATTCCATGTGTTGTTTCTTTTATACTTGTAAAAAAAGAATCAGAAAAGAAATTACTGCTTTCCACCCACATACTGCCAAGATAACTAACATATAAAGAGCAAAGGAGAACCTCCCGGCATGTCTGAACTTTAAAACCACCAGTGAAAGCCAAGAGGAACAAGCAGATGATTAGGCAGATTAACAAAGGAAAGCAGAATTTAAGAGTTTGGACTGCAATGCTATACACATTGTTGGTCTAATCCATTACTCAGCCAATCCAAAACTCTCCCATTTTCCAATGTAGTCACCATTGTCCTGACTGAAAGATCTAGCATTTCCCATGCAGACTATTCTATTATCAGAGTTTTTACAAAAAAATATTTCCTGATGAAGACACATGATAAATGCATTTTTATTTTTTATTAATACTTCAGACATACCATACTAATATAGGGATAATACTAAGACAGAGAGAACACCCAGACAGAAATGCAAGCTTTATAAGACTATTCCTTTGCAGGCAAGAAAGAGCACTGTAAGTGAGAATGTTGTAATAGAAAGTGAGCTTGCAATAAAGACAATACCTACCAAAGGCACGCAACTGATTTCTTCTAGCAGGGACAGGTGGAGAAGGAACCCTTGGTGGTGGAGGATCCTAGTGATCATAATGAATATGAGATGTTAATATGACAAAGGAAGAAAATACAGCATACATAAGTACATTTTATTTCCTTATTTTATGTCTGATTTACATTAACTGCCACTATGACTGGAAGACAGAATAGTAACCTTATAGGTTGTTAATATCTAAGGATTTTTTAAAATCTGGTCTTTAAATGCGTAACACAAGTTACTAAATACTAATCCAAGTACTACTAATGATAGTACCTACAATGCACTATTCAGAGATCTAGACAAAGCTATACCAATTACTGCAGAGACACCTGCAGCCGACCTTGCTCCGGAGCATTCTTACCATTTAGGGGAAACAACAGTTTTAGATAAGGTTTAAAGTCTTACTTAAAACATTTTCCAAAACTGCACTATAACGTATTTTGCCAAATTACCATTTTCATGGCAAATTAATTTTTTAATTTTTAACCCAGTTCATACAGACAGTTGCTTAAAAAAAAAAAACCAACCCAAAAAACACCAACACATTTCCAAAAAAAAGTCAGAAGTGTAGCCTGAGATTCAAATATCACAGACAATTATTTAATCTACTCTTCACAGGACAAATTTATTAAAAAAAAAAAAAACCAAAACCTGTCCCAGGGAAGATTAAATCAAGTGAAAGGAGTGAGTGGTCTTGGGACTGTAACTCATTTGTGATGCAAAGAAGAAAGTGAAGTGTAATCTTTTTGTACCTTCAAAAATATAAAGATAAAACAACGTAGATAAGAATCAACGTTAAACTTCACGCCTGAGCTAAGTTCTTCTGTGAGTGAACATAATGAGTTGCTGTATTAGACGTAAACTTTCTTATCCTAAACCTTGATATCGTTAGACCCTTGGCAGGGGTCTGAACAGAGTACTTACACTCAAATATGAGGTACTCATCTCTACAGAAAATGAACATGTAAAAAAAAAAAATTTAAAATAACATACCAAAAAAAAATTTCTTCAATACTTTGAATAAAATTGAACATTAAATTTCAGAGCTACAAGACTGAAATTTATGAAGTTAATATGAAGACTGACTCCAGTTATTTGTGGTATTCCAGTAATAACTGCCATACATTAAAAACCTGGTAGGATTTCATACGCTGTACTGTCTTTAAATAAAATCACTAAAAGTTGACTATAAATATCATACTTGTGGATAGTAAGATATATGGCTCTCAGCAGAGGGGATCCTTTCTTCTTTTCTTACTGATTTGTTCTGAAGAGCAGTAATGATGGGTGAAGGCTGCCTTGAAAACTGCAAGGACAAAAGCAAGACTGAAACTACGTTCCTATAGATCCTGAATAGAGTGTTACTTTGGACAGTAAAAAGTTTTGCTAATATTTTTTATTTGATAGAAAAATGCTTTTGCTTATCTTAATTGAATTTTATTTAGTTTGCTTTCAACTCTTAATTGCATAAAATTATTGCAAAAATTATTTCATGTGATTTTATTTTCTACCTACAGTAATTTTAATACTTTTTTCTATGATGAAGTTTTTTAAAATTTACGGTTAATTTACCTATCTTTTTTTCCTCTAGGCACTTCCATTGTGTCTGTCCATTTTAGAGAAATGACATGTAGAAATTTCTAAACAAGAAACAGTTGTATTATTTACTTTGATTTTGTCCATCAGAATTCTATATACTTCTTACATCATCCATGTCAAAGAAAAATGATTAATTACAAAGAACATCACTGTTAAAGATGGACAGTCCTCCAGTCCTCTAAACTGTATAGCTTTATTTTTAGTTGTATTTGGACCTCAGCAAAAGCAGGCCACAGTACTTCACAGCAGATATAAAAGATCAACTAGAGAGTACAGTTTGCTCTTATTTATCTTGGTTTTACTATTTTTTTAACATGAATTTGATCAGCAAGGTAAGTTTCCACTGTAGTATGTCTGAATTTTCAATCAGCTGTTCTCTGTGTGTGCACTAAGTGTACCATAGCTTGATAAAAAGAGGGCGACAACACTGAAGGTAGAACTCTAAGAAATCATGCAATTTTTTTAAACCCAGTTATTTTTAAAAGTTAGGAAGAAGTATTTGTATCTTAGAAAGTCACTGAAGCATACCATCTTCTTTTCCTCTTCCATCTTTTCTTTCTCAAAATATTTTCTAAGTTGTTCATCTTGCTTTTCTTCTTTTTCTTTTCTTCTTTTTGCTGCTTCTTTTTGCCTCTCTTCATCTAATCGAATTATTTCTTTATTTTTCAGTCTTCGCTGTAACATAAACATCATTAGTACATAAAAAAGACTCAACATTATTAAAGTTTTGCTTTGTTTTTCTTTGAGAAGTTAAAATTACACATCAAAGTGATCAGTATGAAATTAAAAGCATATTTCATTAGGTTGACTTCAAACAGTCAAATTAAAAACTATGCCATGCAAATATTAAAAATCTGCAGTCCTGGATCTGCTAACATCATTTAACAGAATCCCTAATAACTTCAATAAACACCAGTTTGCACCTCCAGATCTGCTGCCAGTTAAGGCTAAACTGTAGGAGCCATTTCCAAAAATTCAGATTCAAATGAAACATACTGCCAACTTGCACCACCCTATCACAAGCCCACAGAGAAAATTATCATCTGGTCTCAATTTCAGTCTTGTGTGTGTGAAAAGTGATGATACCAGATAGCTTCCAACTCTATACTAGACCAGCTCTATTATCCGGAAGACAAGACTCAGAAGACAAGACTCGTCCAACTAACTTGCTCATACTAGGGAAGAGAATCTAGAATATAAGCTAAGTGTTCTGTCTTCGAAATCTTGAAGTCCTACATCCTGAACTGATCTTTCATAATCGTGCAGGGTACTGAAAGATTTTTTTTCCTCTCTGACGGCCTTTTCCTACAGTTATTTATGAGATTCTGAATTATGCAAATTCATTCAATTTTCCAAACATAAATAAATCTTTGGGGTTTGAAATAAATCACGTTTACCTCCATGAAAAGTATTCATTAGATTTGCTTGGCATTCTTCCAAAACAAACAGTATTCTTACCTCAAAGATACATCCTGGCCAATGCAAGAAAAGTCTTTAAGAAATCTTCCTGTATAGCTACATTCAGAATACAAATAATTCCATGACAGGTAGATTTAAGAGGCTAACAAAAAAGAGCTGTTTGGGGTTTTTTTTAATTGACCCATTTGACAAAGCTTTTTATTGGCATTTCCTTTAGAAAGGAGGCATCACTGTTAATTATAAAACTATACAATTTTTCTTAGAAGAATTATCAGTACTTCAAGTTGGTAGAATACCACAAGAGTGAGAAGAATGTGCTAGTTAATTCTGACAATTTTCTAGCTGTCTTCTGGCTAACGTAGAACCATTTAAAGACAAAGACCATTCACAGGACACTTCTCAGTTTACCTTCTTAATCTAGGGAACAAATATTACAAAGGGTTAGCTTAGGATAAAAAAGTCAAGCTATCGAAATACTACACCTCCTCCTCTTTCTTTCTTCTCTCTTCTTGTTCATCTTCATATGCTTTTTGAATTCTCATCCTCTGTTCAGCTAGTCGTTTTTCTTCTTTTTCTTCTTCTATTCTAAGTTTTTCTCGCTCTGCTTCTTCCCTGCGTCTCTTCTCTTCAATCTAGAAAATAAAGCAAAGAAGTGTTCAACTGTCAATAGCCAGCAATAATCTGATGAACGACATTTACCATTACTATCTTCTATGGACTTTTGCAGTACCTACTTGTGCAATCAAAGATTACATGGAGGAACTAGGGCCAGACTTAGATTTCAGCCTCAGACTTCCTTTAAAACGAGCTGATATTTTGCTATTTCTTTAGTAAAGTATTTCTTTACTATTACTCTTTACAGAACCACCCTCCACTAAGAACATTAATTATAAATGCTACTAAAAAAAACCTCATTATTTCCTAAAGCTCACTCTGTTCTGGATGTGCTGGAATAACACTTTTCTTCACTGATTAAATAATGGAAGATGATAAACCAAAACCAAAAAAGACACAGCAATTATCTTTTTCCTTTCCACAATTATAATGTTTTTTAGATACAGCACTGATTTACTGAAGCCAAAAGTCTGCCCATTCTTTATTCTTTTTGGCAGCACTATACATGGAAAAAGCCTTGATCTTTTCTTTTTAAGAGACCCACATCAAACTATGGTATGACATTTGTAGTCTTTTAAATTATCTAGGACTTCCTTGATACTGATACTTAATTAAATTGACATTTAATTCTTGTGACATAAGACTATATGCAAAGTGTTATGGACAAAAGACAGAAACTGGTAGAAGAACAATCACATTTATAGGCCCATCAATAACTAACTACATTATTATTGTCTCATTGATCACTATTTCATTCTGATGAACATGCATTTGTACCATGTAGCCTTCCAAGAGCAAATGCCTTTGTTCCTTTACATATTTATGTAAGCAAACTTGTACTGTATGCACAGTTCGAGAGCTCAATACTGTATTTGGAGAGCTGTACTCAGGAAAAAAAAAGATAGAATCTAGATTAATTAAGACAACTATTAATAGCATCACTTATAGGCATTTCTTATGTAAGGCAAAAATCTGAGACTCAAAAGCATATAGCTCTTACTACACATCTTGTGTTCAGAATTGTCTACGATTGGACATGGTCTTTGGTCAGCAGTGATGATTTACTTTGACTGTAATCCCTCTTTTTTTAAAATTTATTGAACAAGATGATCACTAGTGTGTGCATTTACCTGTAGACGAAGAAAGTTCTTGTATGACTCTTGTCGTTTAAGATGCTGTGGAGATGGTGGTTCACCGAACACATTACCTCGAGCAAAAGGAGAAGTCTGTGCAAATGTAAAACCTAAGGGGGGAGAGGGGAAAAAAAAAGTTACAGATAAAAATAAAAAAAAATTTAAGACAGCAAGCCAGAGTGAAGAAGCAGGAATCTGAGACATTTGTTTCAAAAGGTAGTTTATGACAGCCATAGTTCAAGGCTATAGCTGGATCAATAGCTGTGATTAGAAGTTCTTATATTGCCTGCCTAGAATACTGTCAGGTTATTTAACAAGGCTCAATTAAGAACGGCCAAGCCAGCTGCCTTTTTACAATATAACACCTATGAAAGTCATATATTCTACTGTCCAATCTACCATTTAATATCTAAAAATGTTACCTGTGTTAATTAGAATATTACATCTCATAGAAATTATGAGATTAGAAATTTTACATCTCATAACTTTACTTCTTGCAATTACTCTGACTTAGCACACGCAGTTCTGTTCCTTAGGTTTATTCACGCTTTAAAAACAAAACATCCCAACAGAACAAATGTGTAGGCAAAATACCAAAGAATGCTACAAAAACCAAAGCCAAAATAAGTAATCAGAAAATCAAATTCTGCCAGTATAAAGTGCCTTCCACACTATGAAAGGTCAGGTCTCTTTCAGCTCAACACCTTCCTCCCCTGTATTGGAAGCAACACCACTGGGGAGAGGTTACCAGGTTATTCTCAGCGCTGAGTTACGAAAGCTTCATAACCATAGAGTCCCAAAAACTCTAGAAAAGAGGATTAACTCAGATACCACACAGAACAGCTTTTGCAGAACAGGATCCCTATAGGAAGTAGAGGAGAAAGGAAGTAAGTGAAGGAAGAGCAACTTGTGTTAGCTTTTCACCTGACACAGCATGTTCTTCATTCATATCATGTCTGCTCCACAGGACAGTACAAGGATGTGCAAGAGCCATAGCTCCACAGAGCTGAGATGAACACAGCTGTAGCTGTTCTCATCTTTCCCCTTTACTCTTCCCTATATAGTGACATACCATCCAAGTCAGATGAAAGCAGAAATAACACATACACTTACTCCCATAGGAATGCACGTGCTTACTGCTACAGCCTAGCCTTAGGAGCACATGGTTTCATACCAAGGAGTACACTTTGAGGTTAGTATTATTTTTCCTTACATGGAATCACTGTTTGAATCCTTCCAAAGTATAACTAAACTTGTATGTGGCTCTTTCAGGATGGATTTACTTCACTCAGGACATATTCCATGCAGAAAGTCAAAATAAAGTTTATGTATCATTTAAAAGGCATGGACACAAGACAAGACATGCTACTATGGAATGTGTCAAGGAATGAACTTATGTACAAGCTACTATCCTACAAGTTCCTCTCTAAGGGGATGGTGTAAAAAACAAAACAAAACACCACCAAACAACCAAAAACGCCAAAACCAAAACCTACACAAAGCCACTTTACAATCAACTGGAGGGTGGGTGCAAGACTAAGAAGTTCCCATTGCTGATCGGCACCATGTTCTGATTGCAAGATAAGTGATCTAACCAGGGGGCTCTTCTATTCTGCATTATTGCTTTATCAGCCTTGCCTGTTTCACTTCTTACTAAATATTTAAATTTACAGTGTATTAGGGAGTCCAGCCAGTGGTCAGGACACTGAATTGCAATCTTATGAAGCAGATCCATGCTCCAAATACATGTAATTCTTTACATGGAAATGCAACAGTTCAGACAGGAGGAAGAAAAGCAGCACCTAAGCTGACTTGAGGAGACCATCACCAATCCTGCCCCTTGCCCATCCCACACCGGGGACAGGTCTGGAATACCACAGTTCTCTCATTTAGATGTCTCACAAAACATGAGAGAGAAATATGCACTAGTTTTTAAATAGAAAAATAAAATAAAATCCCTAAAACTTGGAGGCAGTGCACAGGACTGCATATGTACCCAGTTTACCTGTAATTTTTAGGACTTGTTAACCTAGCCACTGTACCAATTTCATCTTAACCTATAACATCATACGTCTGCAGACACTCTTCCTGCTTTTATTCCATCTTCTCTCCTACTATACTCTTGTATTTTACTGTATTATTTTAAAGTAAAACAAATGTGATGAAGATTTGATTATATAACATTGAACCTGGAAAACTAATGTACTGATCTTGACTGTTCCATGCTAAAACAATTATTATCTATCAGAACTGACAAGACAGATGAGAAAATACATTATCAACGCACACAGTGACAGCAACGAAGAAGTTTGGGCAAGAAGCATACTACTGACTTCACAGGTAGAGAGCACTAACACTATCACAGGACTACAAGAAAGAAGTAAAGAAACTAGAGAATTTTGATCACTAAGACCTATAAATAATTAGAGCTGTAATACAGTATTCTTAAAAACCTGCTATTTTATTTGTGGATGCTTCTGTGTTCTCAGGTCTCGGAGAGGCCAAACTTAGGTCAACAGATACAATAGCCCTTTTATCTTCATATAGTCTTGCCTCTGGTTTATGAAATGCATCTTCGTTTTGCTTGTGCATCATATTCAAGTCCGCTAAAGGAAAGGGGAAATAACTGTTTATAATATTTTATTCTCACAAAAGGCATGTTCACCATAGATTCTCAAAAATACAGGTGTTTTTGAGCAGACTCCACTTTTCCTGGGCATATCAACTATGGGAACAAAATATTTAAGCAAAGACAAGCATTTAGAAGCTATAGGTAAAATACTAGTCATCAGGAATTTACCAATTAAAAGATTCATTTTGTTGGTTTTCTTTTGCCCAGAATGATTCTTCACAGCAAGCGTCCCCTCTCTCCCACCTGAAAATGCTATGAAATGGAAAGATAAAAGAGCTCAAAGACAAAAAAAGACTGACAAGCCTGTGCTGAGAAATATGCATTTAGAAACCCCTCCTTCTTCTACTTCCTTAAAGCTGCAAAATACTTTTGAGTTTAGTATTGGTATTTTACGGACTGAATCTCTATTTGATTACTATTAAGGGCAATAATGACAATGAACCATTGAAGTGTATTTTGGTCTTCATGTCTTCAGGAACAATACAGGTACAGACTTCTGTATGTAAGCAAAACAATGTCATCCAACTTTTTCACCAAAGTTTACATGGTGCCTCTCAGTTACCACAGAAGTCCTGATCAAAGATGTTCATTTCGGCTCTTTTCAAGTGTTCCCCACACTATACCTTAGAAGGCCTGTTTCAAAACAAAAAAGTACTACACAGTTTTCAGATTTTTTTTTAAATAGTGCTTTCTCAGAATTATGAATTATTGTAGTTAGTTAAGTACACGGATTCCAAGAACTTTAAATTACATCATTCTCCATAAAGCAGCCTTTGCATACATCAGAGTCCCAAAAGCTATTTACAGACAGTTTCAAGAGGATGAAAAGACAAGTCAAACTGCATAAGACAGAGACATGGCAGAAACAGCATGTTATGGTTTACGACATTTGACTCATAGCTTATGCATCATGCTGCTAAACTATGGTGGGAAAAATAACTTTACATATGCAATTCAGGAAAACAGGCTAAGAAACTTCTTTTTCTTGGTTCCTCATTTACAGAGAGAGATAAACTTCTCAGGAGGTATATACAGAGCTCAGGCTAAGGTAAGCAACCTACACTTTCCTCTGCCTCCTCTACTCACTATTATAAAACCTAGAGAAAGAAGCCAGACACTTAACTGCAGTGCCTAAATTTAGGCAATGTGAACACCTCTATTCGCTCTGGGGATAAATACAAGCTGGGATCCTCAACACAAGCTTCTAAACTTATTATTTGGGCACACAATCTTTAAAAAGCATTTAAGCTTTATTGCCTACCCTCAAACTACATTGAATTTAGCCATGCATTGCTCAGGTGTCACAAAACAGAAACTAGTTATTTATATATATAAAATGTTATCCAGTAAGTGTTCCATGTTTTGAAAATTTTCATACTTTTTTACCAGAAGACATATTTTAAAAATCTAATCAGAGTTCATCATCAGAAAATCAGTTTGCTTCACATCAGAAACTCACTTTAAAAGTTACCACTTCTACCCATTTTGGACCATAACTACTACCGCTTCTACTAGTGTATTGGCTTTCCACAAAAGGAAACTGACTGATACCCCTGGATGTATATGAGAGATGCTTGTCTCAAAGACTCCACTTCACTTCCTTCGAGTAATTCATTAGGTATTCTCTTTTTTCCCTGCAAATTCCTAGGGGTGGAAGAAAGAGCAAACAGTTTCAAGTCCATTTAACTTAGCAGAAATGAGACAGTCACCATTAAGGGGATTTCCAAAATTGTTCTGTAGACTAGGTAGGAGAGTGTTCAACAGAAGAGGACCCGTGGCACTTAATAAAATTATTAACACTAAATTCAGTTATAATATATACAAATCTAATTGTGCCTACTGAGTACTATTTTTATGTTAGATAAAATATTGCTATAGGGTTCAGC